TGGAAAAACTCCACCCGCGCATCTTACCCCTCGGGGCGGGGCACGCAAAAAGGAGGTGTGACAACTACTATTAAGGTACGATCTAATTTACCTTTTTATAATATTATGAGTCGGCCTAACTCTTGCAGGCAACAACCAAAGGAGAATATGATTATTAGGTCTGAAAGCACGCGTTTCACTCTTTTTCCGTTGAACTGGTTTTGTCCCAAATGGATTTTTTACCGAGGCAACAATAAATTGTGCTAACTTAGATTTGAAGACACGTTTTAAGCTAGAGTCAATAGTCGCATCAACAGTATCCAAGCCCTCTCAAGATAGACCTCGAATACTAGGGGCCATCATCATCAGGTTAAGATTCCTTAGCAAGGAAAGAACAAAACTTTGTACTTGAACAACTTAGGCTCGATAGTTAGGATTTATTGGAAGGGACAAATGGCCAAGTGAACCGTGCCCGCGTAGGCCACTTTAGCCATGATACAACCTTTTACACGCTTTCAATCATGTACTTTACACACAAAAAATGAAAGAAAATTTCCACCTTGCTATTACATATTTTTGCATCTTAAAGCATTGAGCCTAAGGGCTATCCCTATTCGCGGACTATCTAGCCCAGGGGCAACCCCAACTCGGGGAATGTTGTCCGAAATAAGTTCGGGCAACTCGGGCTACCAAATCCCAGAGGCGCAAAACCTAATACGTAGTGTCTAAACACAAAAGGCTACGGCCACACGAACGGCCACAACCTAAACACGAAAGGCTACGGTCACACAAACGGCTCGGAGACGTCCGAAGCCCATATTCAAAGCATAAGGCCTTCATAAAAATTCAAAACCTGCTAAAAGGTTACCTTTGGCAAAAGTATCATCTAAAAATACTTAAGCATCTTGAGAAAACTTCAGGTGACTCCGAATTTTCAAAGCCTCGAGCAACACTACAAGAAAAAAACTTTTTAGGGACCAACATTTAGCGACGAGGTATGAGTCTGGTCCCTAGAAGTACACTAGTAAGGACGAGAATACTACTGATCCTTAAATCTCTAATTTTTTAATAAAAATATTAAATAGAAATAAAATTTGTTATAATGTACGGCCCTTAATTATAAAAATTTACCGGGAGAAAGTGGTGCCATACGAAAATTGGAATAAAATATTATAAAATTTACTTTAAAAACTCTAACTTTTATCAAACCTAAATCTACCATCAAGTCTCATCTCCCTCACTCCCCATAGAAGTAAAAACCCTAAATCTCCAAAATTTCCATATTTCTCTCAAAGGCATTTTCTTGGTATGTTAAGAAGTATTTTTCTTTAAATTCTCTTACTATAGGTTTGCTAATCTCATATTTTGCAGATTTGGGGAAAATATCAAGTTGAAAACCTGCTACCCATCTTACCACAAGTAAGCACACTTTCTTTCTCTATATATCTTCTGGGTTAACTTTTGTTTATTATTTCTCAACAACCCATTTTTGCAGGTTTGTGAAATTTTTATTTTTTAAATTTTTTATTGGAGAAATTGGTTGCTAGTCAGCAAATATTTTTACAATTAATTTCTTTTCTACATTATATTTGCTTGGGTGTCCTTTTGTGAATTGTTTGTAAAAGCCTATCCTTTGTTTGGTTTTTTTTCCTTCAAATTTCTTCTTCCTCTGCTATATTCTCCGTTCTTATATTTGAAACTTACGCTTAGAAGAATTTTTAGTTTTATTCAAATTGGAGTAAGGATTTGTCTGCAATTGTTTATGTTCCACAAAAATTTTGATCTTTACTTCATTTTGTTTAGATTTTTTGTGAGTGTATTTCTATGTTTCAGTCCCTTTTTAGTAGAAACTTAGTATTAGATTTTAGAGAATCTTTTTCTTTTAACAGTAAATATTTGAATAAAAATATATGATGCCTAGTGTTGTGCTTCTCTTTTAAGTGGAATGATGTGTTCTATCTTGTTTGCTATCCTAGATGAAAAGTTTTATTACTGTTGCAAATGCTATTGCTGGTACTAGTAAAATCTCTCTTGCAACTTGTGTGTTCCTTGGCATAAAAGTTGTGTTTTAGCTGCAACTAATAGTGAGACTACTGCAACTAGTCTCAACTAGTAAATGTCACTATTACAACTTATAAGACTTCTCTCAATGGGTGAACATCTATTAATTAGACTACGATAACTAGTAAGATCATCTTAATATAATTTGTAGTTGTTGGCTTACATTTGTATTTTAGCTTTTCATAGTAAGTGCTATATTAAATTTTTGGTCTTTATTGGATTGAAGAGGTACAAATTGCTTAATGTGTTAGTAAGTTTCAAAACTTGTTTAATATAATATTTAGCTAGTTTTTCTCGACTTCTCTAACTTTTAGTGAGCTTGTCTAGAATGCATTGGTTTACTTTTAGAATTCTTGACTGTAGTTTTTTATTGTATTCAACTTCTGGAGTATTTGTGGCTCATTTATAAGCAAACAAAGTGAGAACTAGAAATTTTATTTTCTATCAACCCTTTTTTAGTTTTAATTTTGTAAATTCAGTTAATAATTGTTAACTCTAGCTAATTGTTCTGATAGGAATGTACTCCTAATGGACCAGAGAAATTGTTAAGGAGTAATAAGTACACTAGTTGATGAGTGTTAAATAGAAAAATTGTGTGTTATGTCTATTTTGACAGTTAATTTGTATCTTATCTCATTCTAATGATATACTTTTAGTTTATTTTCTAAAATGTATCAGTTTTTCTGGATAATTAATCTCAACTTCTTATGGCTCAAGATACTTTGTTTCTTACAAAAAATTATATTACAGTTATATAATTTTTCCTAAAGGTTATGTGTATCCTACAGTACTTTCATTATCCTATATTTCTTTTCTAATTTGATTCTTATGTAACCTCCAAGGTTATGGCACCTAGTAAGAAGTGGATGCAACTTGTTGATAATCGACTTGATGAAGCCTACTTAAATGGGGTGCAAAGTTTTTTGGATTACGCTTTTAAAAGAACAGGAGAAATGTGTGAAATACCATGTCCATGTATCAAATGTTGTAACACAACTTTAGAAACACGTGAGATTGTAGATGCACATTTGAAAGTATATGGAATAATTTAAAATTATACTTTTTAGCATCATCATGGAGAAGTTTTTGGTGAGCCACAATCAGAATGTGAAGATGAAGATGAGGATGACAATGAAGCAGAGGAGTGTGAGAGCGATGATGAAATATGAGAAATATTGAGTGATTTATATCCTAATATTGATGGAGGCACTACGGACATTGGTTATGATGACTTACATAAAGAAGAACCGAATATCGAAGCAAAATTTTTTTACGGTTTATTGAAGGGTTTTGAGCAACAACTATATCAGAATTCTAAATGTTCAAAGCTTTCTACTTTGATTAAATTACTTCACATAAAAAGTATTGGTCGTTAGAGTAATGAGTCATTTACAATGTTATTAAAAACGTTAAAGGATGAGTTATTGCCAGATGGAGCTCATTTGTCAGGTTCATATTATGAGGCAAAGAAGGTAATTCGAGATCTTGGGCTTTCTTACCAAATGAATGATGCTTGTAAAAACAATTGCATGTTATATATGAAGGAGGATAAACTGCTTGAATCGTGCAAAGTTTGTGGCGCGTCCAGATGGAAATTGGATAATGTCACGACCCAAAAATCCCTTCGAATGAGTCGTGATGACACCTAGTCTCTGAACTAGGTAAGCCTAATATTTACTAAAATAACATTGATATTTATTAACTTCGAATGAAATTTCTCTAAACAATTTACAATTCCCAAAATCGGTAGTACAAGTCATAAGCTTTTTTAAGAGTAGTTATACAAAATAAATACATCACTGTTCTGAACAAAAGGAACATATGGAAATAAGTACAATTGAAGGTGACTCCGAGGACCGCGAACGCTGCAGCAAGTTTACCTTGGGTCTCCACCGCAACGAACAACTACTATCGATCAAATACCTGAATCTGTACAAAAAATATACAGAAGTGTAGTATCAGCACAACTGACCCCATGTGCTGATAAGTGCCTAGCCTAACCTCAGCGAAATAGTGACGAGGCTAGGACCAGACTACCAAATAAATCTGTACAATATAGCGTACAAAATAATAGAAAGAAGATAACAATGATGGCAACAATGATCAACCAGTGATATAAATAGCAGGCAACAAGAACACCATAAATGCTTCTCAACAAATAATAAATACAAGTACAATCAATTATCGATTCGTTCAAATATAAATCTTTCGCCTATAAATCCTTCAAGTAATAATCTCTAAGATAATATATTTTTCAATAAATATATTTCCTTCAAATAAGTATCTTCCAAGTAAGCATCTTTCGAATATAATTCTTTCGAGTAAAGGTAACCTTGTGACGCCTCATTTCATAATCATAAATAATATAGGTCTCAGCCCACTTTCATATTTTCACGGCACCTTGTGCCCACATATTTCTATCTCATATTGCACAACAATATCCTCATATTACTCAGTTCATAGGTTCTATAACCCAATACAATTAAGAATGTTTAAGGAGCCTAATTCACTTAACATAAAGTAGTGTACAACTCTCAACCCAAATAGGAAATCAATCAGAAAAGATGAAGTTATTTTTAGAAATCATTTGATAAAGAAAATACCCCTTTCAATTAAAGTACAATATCGAATGAATTATTACCTTTAATACAAGAAATCAATAAATCAAAACATAGAAGAAATTCCTTTTTAAGTAAAGTACAACTTCAAATGGTTTAAGGAAAATTTAGCTCAGAAATCAATTGAGTTAAAAATGTGACAATTGTTGAAATTTGAAGTATTGAATATATAAAAAAAATAGGGCGAGGTATTTTCAACACTATGGGTTCCCACACAAAGGATCACAGCCGTAAAAGAATCTAAACCATTAAAACATTTGAATTGATAACAACAATTACAATGGAGACAAAATATCACAGAAGGAGTACAGCTCAACATAGAGATAACAACCGGGGATCTCCCATGATACCATCCTGTAGTCCCCAAATATAAATCTCCAGTGGATCTCCCAGGTGCAGTCCCGTAGTACAACTCATAATGCGAGAGGATCTACCGGAAAACCCGATCCGCAGTTCCAAATGTAAATACCCAGTACTGGGGGAATCTACTGGGTGCATTCCTATAGTTCCATATAACTGTGCAGGGGGTCTCCCGGGAATCTAACTCGTAGTCCCAAAGTAAATGAGCTGGGGGATCTCCTGGGAATCTAACTCGTAGTCCCAAAGTAAATGTGAAGGGGGATCTCCCGGGAATCTAACCCGTAGTCCCAAAGTAAACAGACAAGGGGGAGCTACCGGAATCCCACATCCGTAGTCCCAAAATAAATACATAACGTAAACAACAGAATCAATAGTTACATCACAACCGAAGGATCGAATATCACCGCAATATATATAACAACAACAAATGACAATAATACAAGGTATGACAAGTAAATCAACTCAGGGGCTGTAAATCACGAGAAAATGGTAGAACCGGCTCAAGGGAATAACCACAGAAAAAAATGCTGGCATAAAGAAAACAGTTCAATAACGGGAAAACTAACACGTAGCAACGATTCCACAATATACAAGTCAATAATAAGGAAATCAACACGAGTCAAGTAGTTATGAAAATATAACATAACAATATGTGAGGCGAAACTTTTTAGGTAAGTCAAATAGGAGTCACATTAATCAAAGTATAAGACTCACGGGCATACTTGACACCAACGCATAGATACTCGTCACCATGCCTATACGTCATACACGACAAATAACACATAACAATTATGACACAACTCCTAATCCCTCAAGCTAAGGTTAGATCAAACATTTACCTTTTTGAAGTTAGGCCAATATTCCAAAATAGCCTTTTTGCTTGAATTGACCTCCAAGAGGCTCAAATCTATCCAAATTAATTGTATAACTCTATTAAAATATATCAAAAATAATTCCGGATAATAAAATATTGACTTAAAAATTCACATTAAAAAGTTAACCAAAAGTCAACGGGGGACACGCCTCTCGGAACCTAACTTGATTTTCATGAAATCCGAACAACTATTCCAATACGAGTTCAACCATACCAATTTTATCAATTTCCGACATCGGATTGTTCTTCAGATCTCAAAAATTTATTTTAGAAGTTTCTATAATTTTTCTCCAAATTTTCACCCCAAATCACGAATCAAAAGATGAATTCAATAATAGATTCATGTATTCTAGCCAAATCCGAGTTAGAATCACTTACCCCGATGAATTTCTTGAAAAACCTTCCAAAAATTGCCAAAATCCGAGCTCTCTAGGTCAAAATATGAAATAAAACCATAAACCTCGTATTTATAGTTCACCTCCCGGATTCCACCAATGCTGACCGCACAAAATCGACCGTTGACCGCGGTGGAGCACCGCTGACCGCACAAAATCGAATGTTGCCCGCGGTGGATTTGACTGCAGTGACAGTCTTTGGTATTTTGGACATAAATTTCGCTACAGATATCCAAATGTCTATTATAATATGTTTCTGAAAACTCGATTCCAAGATCTACATTTGTCTTTTTTGAATCATCCCCAAATCGTTGTAGATTAAAAGATATGTGCTTTCGAAGTCTTACCAGTGATCCTGCTGACCATTTTTAGTGTGCGGCTACACACCATTTTGTGCAGTCCGCACAAAATGGTATGCGATCCGCACTCCCCTCTGTGGTACAAAATTTTGGTGTGGTACACACTTCCAAAAGTGCCAGAACCATCTTAGAGTTCCGAAATGTCCAAACTCGCTCAAAATTCACTCCGAAACTCATCCGAGGCCCCTGGGACTTCAACCAAATGTACCAACATATCCCATAACATCACAAAAATTTAGTCGAGCCTTCGAATTACTCAAAATAATACCAAAACACCAAATCCACCTCGGGTTCAAGCCTAAGGACTTAGAAACATTCAAATTTCACAAACAACACCGAAATTTATCAAATCAAGTCCTATTGACCCCAAATTTTGCACACAAGTCATAAATGACATAATGGAGCTATTCCAACTTATTGAGTCAGATTTTGATCTCGATTTCAAAAAGTCAACCCCTCCATCAAACTTCCAAACCGCGACTTCTCATTTTCGCCATTTCAAGCCTAATTAAACTTCAAACTTCCAAATAATTTTCTAGGCATGCTCCTAAATCCATTATTACCATACAAAGCTATTGGAATCATCAAAAGTCCATTCCGGATTCGTTTACTCATATTTCACCTTCCGGTCAATTTAATTCAACTTAAGCTCTCTTCTTGGGGACTAAGTGTCTCAATTCCTTTCAAAAACCTTTCCGAACCCGAACCAATTTTTCCGGAAAGTTACACAAGAACCGTGAAGCATGAATTTAGCAGTATATGTAGAGACGAGGTTGTACTTATTCAAAATGACCGGTCGGGTCATTACAGATAAACATAGCGGGAAAACAAGGAATATAAATGGTAAAAAGATAGCATCAAATACTTTACGCTATTTTCTATTAAAACCTAGGCCTCAGGGGTTGTTCATGTCGACATCTTCTCTAATGATATGGAATCAAGATAAAAGAGTTGATGATGGAACGATGAGGCACCCAGCTGATTCATTGCCTCCATCTACTGATAGTCTATTGTCTGTATCTACAAATAAAAACTCATTTGTTCCTAGAAAAGAGCAGATGCAAACTGAGACTCCATTTTCTCCACCCACTGATCAAGTAATGCAAACAGTTGAAACATGTATAGTTTGACAATTCTATGATTATAAATTTACTTGGGACATACAATAGTTTTAGATATTACTAAATCGTGCAATGTAGGTTCAGGTACTACTGAAAAGCCAAAAAAAGTTCGAGGAAGGAACAAGTGCAAAGAAGTTGCATCACTTGAAGTTGGAGATAAGTTGAAAGTAACTTTTACAATAATCGAATTGTTGAAAAAAATAGCACTCTATTTTCTAGGAACTTGGGAATAATAGTTCGTGATTGTAATATGTGTCCGTTGGGAGTATCATCATGGGATAATGTTAAAGAGGAAAAACTAAATCACATGTGGACAGCTATTGAGGTAACAAATGCGTCCAATTTGCTTATAAGCTATTTGCTACAACTCAAAATACATTTTTAGAACCTTACAATTTTCTTTTGCTAAAATAGTTTTATGATTTTCTTTTCTATGTTCTATCAATCATGAAAGTTTTATCATTTCTTTGCTAAAGTTCTTATGATATGTTTAATTTACTGCATGATAAATTTTTGAGAGCGATGACCTAGATATTCATCGCAATCATATTTTGGGATAGATGAAAGAATTGTGGAACAAATAGAGAGGACAATTGCATGCAAAGTATGTGAGGGGTAAACCAATTCAAGAGTCTCTAAAGAATATACCAAAGTGGGTAGACAAAAAACAATGGGAGTAGTTGGTAAACGAATATTTTTGTACAGAACGTTTTCAGGCAAAAA